AAGATTATTAATTATTTAGTTACCATTTATTATTGAGATTCTCTAGAGTTGGAGCCTATAAATGTATCCATCACCATAGTTTTATCAATCAATGAATAAAGAAAATACTTTCTCCTAAACTCTAATCTTTCTCTTTCTTGCCTCTTTTGTTCTTGGAGCTCGAAGTTGCTCGAAATCCTTCTTTATCCCGATACGATATCGTATCATCTCCAGATACCATAAGTCATTCAAATAGAAGGTTTCGATATCTCCCGAATTTGGGAGATATCAATATGGGGGTTTGATATTTCTCTCAGCCATTGATCATTCTCTGTCACCAGCTACCATTGTCACCGTCAACCACCCGTGTTGCCAGTCACCTCCACTTATAACTAATTAAATCATTATTTTAAATCTATCCAAATAAATTTGTTTCAGATTTCAAAGTCAATATCATTTCTTTCAGATTTCATAACACATATCTTATCATTTCTACCTATTAAATAACACCTTTAAATCTTGAATGGTCGTCTAAGAAAAAAAGGACATCGGAAATGTAATACTTCTCCCCTTTCACAAGAGAATTGGTTTTTGGGAAGGTTAATTATTCCAACTCCTTAAAAATATGGGGTAAGAATTTTCCTCCAAAAAACGTACTAACCTCATCCCAGTGTGTTTGTCCAATTTAATTTTTTTAAGTCAAATTGGACAAACTTTAAACTCCAATTGCTCTAATTTATATTGCATATTAGCATAATGAAATATAATTTAGAAAGTGTTCAATACGATAAATCCAATAAAGTCATTCTTATATTAAAATACATTACGGTTTTTATTTAATTGAAGCTCAAAGTTTGTCCAGTTTGACTCAAAAAAGTCAAACTGAACAAATACACTGGGACGGAGGAAGTAGTAATTAGATTCATACTCGTGCAATTATCCTTGGAGTTAGTGCTTCTCGAAAACATGTAGTTCACACTATATTGCATGACATAATTGCAATTGAGTAAGTTATGTCTAATATGTTAGATGTTCGTATTGAGAGTGCATGCAAGTGCTACTGATTTGTTGATGGTAGAAGTGGGCTTAACAATGAAATCTAAGTACAACAAGTACTTTAGTGCGTTTAAAAATCTGAACCCATTAATTATTTAAGGGCTTGTTTTGGATCAAAGGTTCAAGCTAGAGCATATAACTCATGTCTTGAATGTTGTGATGGGGTGAAAAACATATGAAGTGGAAGCTAAGACTACTCAAATCAAGACAGTTCTCTTTTCCATGTACGAAGAGTATGACCAAGAAGTTCAAGGATAGAACCACTTGAGGAGAAGGAGATCAGATGAAAATGCCAATGATGTTGTGAAAAGACAAAAGGCTTCATATAAAGTTTGGAGTAGCACAAGTAGAAACATGTTTGTAGTGGATGGGAATAAATATGTTGAACAAACAAATGAATCAATCATGATTATATTCATGAGGTTGATAGGTATTTAAATGATCCATTGGAAGCTATTGGGAAACAAAAAAATAAGGAAGATATAAATGATGAGGACTGTGGACATACACAATGAAGAAGCAGTTGGAAAAGATTATAGAGCATTCGATATTCTTAAATGGTGGGAGCTTGCATCTGATAAGTATCCACTTTTAGCATTTATATCAAGAGATGTATTTGTAATACAAGTCTCAACCGAGCATCAGAGAGTGCATTTAACCCTCTGAAGATCGCCTCGGCAGTGTTATGCACTCGGCCTCGGCAGTGTCGGTCACCCTCTGACCGCCCCGGCCGGCCTTCCGTCTAGAGGCTTCGGAAGACATGTCATGCACTCGGACTCGGCCCTAGGGCCACGATAGACCTGACCTGGACAAGGGAGCTGACTAAAGTCAAGATCAAGGGGCCCACGATTTGACTCCTGCCATGCCTTTGGCAGAGTTGCTATAGCCACCCTACTTGTAACCTACTTTGTTTAGCAGTCTCAGGGTTAATTATGTGGTTGGACGCCGCTACTAAGGGGTGTTCAAAAATATCCGATCCGAGATATCCGTCCACGATCCGGGCCGATCCGATCCGATCCGAAAAATGGATATCCGATCCGATATTTTAGCTTTCGGATATTTCGGATCGGATACCCGAAAAAAATCGGATCGGATATGGATTCAATTTCTGGAATTTTTCGGATAACCGGATATCCGATTTTTTTGCTATATATTTTTAGAATTTTATGGATATATATTATGACTATATGTTTAAATGTAATTTTATGTTGATTTTAGAACTTAACCATTTTGGACTTTTTGCATTAGCATTTTAGAATCTTTTGTTTTAATAATGTTTTTTTTGTTTGTTTAGGCAAAATTATCAAAGTTACTCCCAAATTGAATTTAGTATCATTTTTTATTAGGCCATTACTTAGTAGTGACATTTTTTCTTTTAGTAAATCTATATTGAATTTGATATTTTGGGTTGATTTTGCTATTTTACTTTTTTTTGTTAATTTTGGCTAAAAACTCGGATCCATTGATCCGATCCGAAAAATCGGATATCCGAATTTTGGATTTCCGAATATTTTGGGATCGGGTATGGAATGAGTTTTACATGATCCGAAATTTTCGGATATCCGAATTTTCGGATCGGATCGGATCGATCCGATTGAACACCCCTAGCCGCTGGTGAACAACCCAATCTTAGTGGGCCCAGACCATTGGATTACGGACCAACGGTCGGAACCCTAGCTGTAACCCGTATATAAACACCTTCCCTTCTAAGGGAAGGGGGACGAACATTCTAAGTTATACTCTAACTAGCATAATATTACTCTCAGTTTACTTGATCCCATATTTTCGTGCACTCTCGACTTAGTTCGATACTTTTCCGCCTAGTCTAGGCCCCCGGGTTCCATAACCAACACTAATAAATAAAAATGAACATTGTAAAAAATCTCTTAAACAAAGACATTCTAAAAATACTCCCTCCGTCCTAAAACTTTTTTCCCACTTCCCCTTTTTCTCCGTCCTAAAACTATCTTCCCATTAGAAAAAAAAGATGACAAATGACATTAATACCCTCATGTATTTACACCAATTATCTTCTAACTCTATATTTTGAATGATTGTAAAAACAAATTTTCAAAAAATCTTTTTAAAGGAGAGTAAAATTTGAAGTCAAAGTCAAAAATTAAAATTGGGGAAAAGTCAAACTCGGAAGACGGAGGGAGTATTATTTATTAAAATAAACTGAAAACAAAAAAATATAAAAAAAAGGTGGAAATATAATAAGAAGAAAGATATATACTCTCTACGAAAAGCAAAAATTACAAATAAGTTTTCCTCATTTTTTTGAAGTTCTCAAAAAAAATTACTTTTTTTTCTTCGGAAAACAGAATACAAATTTTTTTTAATTTGAGACGTACTGATGAAGCATATGTTATTTTTATTTAAACAAAAAAAGTTTCAAAGCTTTGAGAACATAATAAAAATAATTTTGAAAAGAAATTTTTTTTAAAAAATCTTGATTAGTAAGAGAAACAAACAAATGAAAAATCGAGGGTATTAGTGCTATTTGGCCTTACTAGATTTTACCCGTGCGATGCACGGTCAAAATAATATAATAATAAATTATTTTATTTGGGTAAAGAATAAGTTTTTTAGAATGTTTTATTATGGTGAAAAATACAATTTAATATATATCACACCCGGATACCGCATGTATCGAAAAACAATGCACCGATTCGGTGATAATATCATATGCTGCACGTTGTTCAATTAAGAAAAAATGTTGATTGCATAATCAATTTTAACCCCTGCGATGCACAGTCAGGATATTAAAATAATAAGTTAGGATATGTAAAATACGTGTAGTAATAACACAATATTACTTTTTTCAATACTTTCTCTATTCTTGAGTATTTTTTGGTTTTGAATTTTTATAAAATTATTTTTGTATTAGTATCCAATATTATTTTTATTTAATTTATGATCAAAGCTTGTTAATTTTGACCGAAAATATTATAACTGAAAAGATATGCTAGGACCGAAGGAGGATAAGTTGCTATCGAGATAATACCAATGCTTGTAGTATTTACTGTCGAACAATAGTGTCGAATAAAAATAAAACAAAAAAATATTATAAATTTTAAAAACTTTTTTATGCACAAACTATTCCAAGTGTGATTAAAGAATTATTTTCTTTGTCGTTAGTTTAAATCTTCAATCCTTGTTAATTTGTCAAATTTGAGATAGTGGCTTTCAATAGGGTACATTTACTAATTCATAACGATACTTATTATGTGAAACAAAGAGTATAAAGTAATAAATCATCAGAATCAATAATCTTCAACCTACATTCTCCATTCAAAACCTCCCATGAATTATTGGACAAACTAAGTTATGTTTTTCTCTTCAGGTATTTATTGATTTAGTACTTATAAACTTTTTTAAACTTATAAACTGCTTATAAGTTAAATATTTTTTTATGTATATAAAATGATTTAAATGATATATAAGTGTTTGGAGATATTCATAATCAGGTTAAAACAGGGGAACGAAAAGATTAGCTTAAACTTTACTACGTTTTAGGAGTAAAAAGCGTAGTCATATTGGCATAGTAAAATTGGCCAAAGGTGAAAATCAAAGACTGGTCTTGAAGAAAACAAATATGGAGACTGATGCAGAAGAAGAATGCATATGTGCACAAAGATAGTCCTTGCCATAGTAAACAACTCATATTTGAATCACAACAAATAAGACACCATTTTGTCACAAATACTGAAGCGATAATTCAAAAAGTTATTGCTCGAGAAAGGAAATCAATGATGAACATTCCAAGCTAATGAAAGGCTGAGTCAGCAAAATAATACCGTAGCACACATTTCCATATGGATCGGCATTGAATCTTTTAGGACCAAAGCTTGGAGTAAACTAAATTTTACTAATATTCAATGTTGGAATTACAAACACATGAAAGAAGTAAAAATACACGGTTCAGTTTTTAAGGATGATGAGAACGTTAACAATTTGTAAAAGAGTATTACAAACCTTTCTTTGATACTGAGTAGGTGGTTCATTCCATTGTTATTACTCCAAAATCTGAGAAAAACTCTTTAATTATACTGTTTCTTGATCTTGGCCTTTTCTTTATGTCCAAAGAATTTAGAGTTGAACCATAAGATAAGATACCTTCTTTTGAGAACAACAGTTGCTAGAGAAGGGTCAATCTTTGTTTTTTATTCCATGAAATAGTGAGGGAAAACATGGGAAACAGCTCTTTGAGTACCCTTCAATTCATCAAACAGGCAGTGGCTCTTATTTTCCTGTGAAAATCTGCAAACTAAAATGAGAAGGGACCTGCTTGGGACCTTGAAGGTGGACAACAACACAATAGAACTAAAACGAAGTAGAAAAAGCAGAAAACACACTGCAAACTGCGTGGGCCTATGTGCAATAACTTGCGTAATGTTGGGGCGAAAATTTCTCTCCCAACTCTGCAAATTATGAAACTGTAGAGGATACCTGTGAAGATGATCAAAAGTAGAAATTGACCCTGCACTGTTACCATCCGCCTTTCCACCCTCTCGCCATGGACACCTACTCTATGAATACAAAAAACTTAAAATACAACTATAGATTTAAAAAAAAATTGAAATAGAAATAACAAAAGGGTGTTACCTTCTTCATGAATCAGTGAATCCAACCCCTTCTTCTTTTTCTTGTTCTCCGATTGGCTACCGACTCATATGTAAAATGACGGCGGATAGATCCATGGGCTTCCATCAGCAAACCTACAACCTTCATTATGAATTATATGAGCTGTGAAACTATAAAAGGAAGAAGTAGAAGAGGTGAGGAAGAAGGAGAGATGCGATGGGGTAAGAAAACTGAGCCGCTGAGAAACGCTGCAGTTAGCGGACAGGTTGAGACTGACTTTTTTTTGCGCTTCACGCGTAAAAATTTGGGCGGGATAATATTCCTGCCGCTATTGTAAATAGAGAGATACTTATTAGAGTCAATACCCCGTTTAGAAGTATGACCAAGAAATATGGCATGTGTAAATAAACAATTGCAAAAAAAACCGTTGAAAAACCTTGCATAGCTTATATTCCAAATTGGCCAATTACTGTCTATCCTGAATCTTACTAAACTCTCGTAGAGCCTGCTCCAAGGATGAAGGCTTATATGAAGCTCTTAGATAGCTAAAACATCACGTGTACAGAAAGTGTACAGTAGGGATCTAAAATGCAAGTGATAATGCAAAGATAGCTAACCCTCAAAGCCAATAGCTATCCAATAGAGGTTAAATCTTCATATGTTTCAAGTTTGAAATCATTGGGATAATTAGCAAATTACCATCTTGAATGCCTTAGTTTCTCTTCTCTCTCATACTTTAATGGGAACAGTTTCATGCACATTATTTTGAGAAGACTTCTGAAAACAATGAGGCCATGGTGAAATATTCAATTATAGATCAACTATAGGTATCATTATATTACATACACATTTCCAAGTCTTTGCATCTGTAACAAAATAGGGGGATGTATAACCACGGGCAAGTTCCATCCCTTCCGCCACTTTCAATTCGTTATCCATAATATTTCCATCCTGCTCAAGTTATAAAGCTTCAACAACATGTGCTTACCATTCATTATATACAGGACTAAAGGAATCGTATAGCCTATGTATGAACATTACTCACAGCAACAGTAATGACACCATCCTTGCCTACTTTCTCCATTGCCTGTGCTATTAATTCTCCAATTTCCCTCTCACGCACTATTTTCAAATAGAGTTGCTATTTATTCTGATACATACCAACTCAATTATGGAGTACATATACACACCTTTTAAGTACGTGAAAACTTGCTACTCGTTGGGCTCTTAAACCTACAACACTCATATCACAACACCAAATTAAATTTGAAAGAATTTACCATGGAGACAAATTGACGAACACTTGGATAGGGATAGAAGGTGAGGATAAAGATGAGAGTGAAATTGAGGTTCTTTAAGCCGTGAAATAGTGGGAAGTTAGGCGGTTCTCATATGGGTGAAACTGTTCTCACCTAAAAAGTCGTCCTAGCTCATGGATTTGATAGAAATAGAGAGAGATGGAATTGGTGGTGAGATGGTGGCGTCTTCTGATTGTGCGTTTAGAGATAGTGCCTGGACGGTTGGGTGTTGGCCGATTAAACCGGAGATATTCATACATTAAATTGCAGGTACTTCTACTTGCATTTGTAATTATTCCTACTTGCATTGCGTGATTCGATCTATCTACAGCGATATTCAAGGAAAATTCATGTGAAATTGGGGGGGATTTTTTCTTTTAATTTTTAAAATAATCGATTGCTGGGTTCTTAGGTATTGATTTGACAAAGAAAAAGATGGATGAATACGACCCTCTGAGTGGATACAGTGATTCAGACAGCGACAGGACGGGATTAGGTTTCTCAGAGAAGAGGAGGATAGTTTTTTTCTGAGAAGCACCTAACCAAACCTGATAGTTTTGTCTCCCCGATGCCCATCCAAGAAGCTGTCAAAGAGGAGGGGGGGAGGATCTGAAAAAGAGTGCACGGGGTGTTGTCAAAGATGAAGACCCTGAGACCTTTTTGCCCTCCTCTTTTGGGAAGGTGAACCAGAAAGGCACCAAGAAGGAAAAGGACAAGTCTTTCCAACTGATAAGGAAAAGGACAAAATTATCAAATCCTTAGACTTCCTGATCAAATATCAGATATGGTAAATTACCTTTTGTGTTGAACCCATTTTATTCGTGGAAATCTTAAATACTCTATAATATCTCTATATGTTGGGAAAATGAACACACACATAACACTCAATTAATTCCTTTGCTAATATAATATTAAGATAAAATGTTATGCTTCTAAACTCATAAACAAATGCTAATATGTACTCAGTAAAACATAATTTGCCCATATTTACTTTTTAATACACTCACACAAAAGATATATGCCTTTATTTTAAATAAGACCAATCATTCTTTAAAAAAGAACCCTCATACGGTGGGTATTTGTGTAACCATAAACTCCCTCCCTCCATAAATTACCCTTATCTTTACTAATTCAGTATTTCTATAACTTTTGTTTGTATATCTTTTTTTGTCATACAATTGATAAAATACTACCCCCGTCCCGCTATATTTGTCCACTTTTGACTTTTGGAACTGTTCATCTAAATACTTTGACCCATCAAATTCTCTCAATGTGTAAGCCTAAATATAGTCATGTGTGATCTTGTTTGATTTGTCTTAACATATAGATTATTACGGAGTAATATATAATTAAAGAAGTGAATTGGATAATGTGTAAAAATGAAAGTGGACAAGTACTCTGGGACAGAGGGAGTAAAACTTTTTTGTACCAAATACGGACTATGATACTTCCTCTATCTCAAAGCTAATGCTGATTAAAGTAGAAATGGGTTTGAAGGGATTCAAACAGGGGATTCAAACCTTCATTTTTTACATTTTTAAATATACATCTTCTAAATTTAAATTAATAAATTTTACTTAATTTATTATTTATATTAATCGCAATGAGACTAGTGCATTAAAAAAATTACATTCATTAAAAAAACATTACATTCATAAAAAAAATTATATTCATTAAAAAAATATTACATAAAAAAACACTACAAAGAAATTACTAATTATTTGAGCGAATAAAAATATGTTTGATCAAATTCGACTTTAGTGCATTGTGAATCTCTCGGCTTCGAATTTTTTGGCAATTTTTCGTTTCTTTTCTTCGTTGATTTCTTCGCACATAGGCACCTCCTCGTCCGGGTTGTATTGACAAATCGCAGTCTCGTTGTCCTCTATGATCATATTATAAAGAATAATACAAAATACCACACTGACATTGATTTATATATATGAAATTGCTGAGCTACTCTTATTCTTTTAATATGTATAAGATGGCACTTATATTTATCATACAAATGTTTTGTTCATTTTTGTTAGTTTACATATTTTAATTTTTCATATTGCAGTTATCATAACTAAATATCATATGTAATACGGCGTATTTGAAAACATAGTTATATATCATAGTCTATAAATAGTATTAAAAGTTCGAGTAAATAAAAGTATATTTTTAAATTTAAACTTCCTCCATCCCATAAAAAATTTCTTAGTTTGATTTTCACCCAACATGAAAAAAATGTTTAAAAGTAAAAAAAAAATATGGTTAGATTTAGTTAATAGGAGTAATTTTCTTAGTCACAAATTCAATTCTTTAAAAATAAAGTACTTTTTAGGACGAACAAAAAAAGTAACATTTTTATAGAAAGGATGAAATATAACTTTAATATAGAATTACAAATTTTAGATGTTACACGAGCCCGTGAGAAGCACGGGGTTGAAACTAGTTGTATTATAGTGAGAAGCGAAAGGTTGGCTATTACGTTCTACACTTCATTACTGATATTGATGATGGGCATTATTCTCAAAATTAATTCTCTACATCTAAGTAATTTCTTACCAGTTATAGTGAATGTAACGCCACAAACCAAATACCTGAGTTTATTCGAATATTCGACTCGTGGTGTTAATGAGCCTAACTTTTTGAATCGAAAAATGGGGCATTAAACAAAACTTATTTATTTATTGATAATATCGGAGTAATGTGTTACATGCGGAAGCAATAAAACTTGAAAATATTAAAACTTAATCAAATTGTCATAACATGACTTATTTTAATCTTGATAGTAACATTTTGACCCACTCGTCCAATGCCCTCCACATCAGGTCCTCCGGCAAGGTTATCATTTTCTGATTGTGTACCTAAAAAAATGGAGTGAAAACAAGTGATGTGTCTTTGATCGGGTCCAAGCATCTCCAACCATGCTTGTTATATAAATTTGTTATTTTTACATTATAGCAAGTGAACAGTGAGTGGTATAACAAACACTTTTTTATTTCATTCTCCAACCATAATTTGCTATTTTATATTATAAGTATTGACTTGCTAAAGTTTGAGGAGTTTGTCATATTTAACAAGTTAAACTCATTTTTAAGCAAATTTGCTAAAATAAAACACACCCCTTGGAGTAGAACAAAAGTGTTTAGCTAGCTATATTATAACTTTTAGCAAGTTAAAATGCTATGGTTGGAGAGTGAACATTTAGATTGGGTATGAGTGTATGACATCAACAGGTTGTTTCCTTTATTAATCATTATTTTTTCATCCGAGTATTATTAATTCAAATCTTTTTCAACCGGTACACAAAATGTTATTGTACTAATAATTTGAAATATAAGAATGATAAAGTATTCAAATTATTGTACTAGTAATTTGAAATATATAAATTTGAAATATTTTTTTGGTATATCTCGATTAAAAAACCAATTGACTTGGTCGTCTCCAGAAATGTTTATATATTTATACATTAAAATCTCTTGAAAAGACTCTCATGTTCAGTAAAGAATTATAAAAATCTTGACCGACTTTCTTTTAGGGTCTGTTTGGTATACGGAATTGACGGAATTGGAATTGAATTGAAATTGAGTTTCCATGGGATTCAATTCCATAGAAGTGAATTCTGTCAATTCCAATTAATTTTTTGCACTATCAATTCCAAATTCACATACATTTTGTGCTACCAAACACCGGAATTAGAATTGATTTGAAGTCTTCAATTCCAATTCCACGGTTTGAATTCCATGTACCAAACAAGGCCTTAACATTATGCTACAAATGCATTGCCAGAAGCATTTTTCTGTGTAGTTTCACAAGAGGTTCATGACACTATACTAAGGTATTCATGAAGTGTCATAGCATTCGAGTGATTGGTAAAGAGGTATACTTAGCTCTAAAATAAATACATTTCTTTTTTAGTTGTCCTCCTTGAGGTAGTTCATCAAACAACGTAGTGATCATAAAAGCATTGGGAGGGGCGAGGGCACCCCTCGCCCCGCCATGCCACATCTGGTTTTTCCATGTTTGCCGAGGAGTGGTGAGCTGTGTCACCCTGCATATCAAGTTAAGCCGGTGGCAACTATGCTCCCTTTCTCTCTTTTTTTTTAAATTTTTTGTACGAAAATTAATTTTTTATAAAAGGAGTACATTCCTTTTTATAAAAAATAAGTAAAATAATTTTTTATAAATAAAATAAGTTAAAAAGTGTAAAAATTAAAAAGAAATAATGACTTGCCATTGCAAAGCATACCACTTTACTCACTTGCAACACACTAACTGGACTGGTTTTGATTTGTTAGAATACTTCACGTCATCGTGTGGCATTTCATTTTTTATTTTTCATTGTCAATGCTCTAATAATACGGGGTAAGAGTTTTCCTCCAAAAAAGATCACTTCGTACATAGTAATTAGATTTATACCCGTGCAAAACGGGAAAAAATTTGTTCTAAAACATATTTGTAAGATATTTCTGTTATCAATGTTTGAATACAAATAATATAAATAGATATTTAAATTAAAATTCACAGAGAATCAAATATTATATTACATCCCAAAATTGAAAGCAAACAAATTACACAACATATTGATAAAGCAAACAAATTAATCTGAAAGAGAAAAATAATCTTATAAATTTTTATTTTCGTACCTTTGTTTTTTGAGATAACAATAACACTACTCCATTTAAATGCGCTTTTATAATGTTGGCGTAACAAATACTTCCTCCGTCCCAAAAAGTTTGTTACGTTTAGAAGAAACTGCGTCCCGTAAAGTCCGTTACATTTCTATTAAAAAATCACTTTTACCCGTTACTTTTTCATACCCTACCTATCACATCATACCTTTTTTCTAATAATCTACCCATCACATCTTACTTTTACCTATCACATCAAAGGTATTTTTGAAAAGTCAATATCAAAATATCCCTCCCTTAATTTCGCAAAAAGTCAAACTGTCTCATTCTTTTTGGGACGGAGGGAGTATATTTTTTAAGTTTTTTAATCAATTCCCAAACTACTCCGTTATTTCTTATTGGGGTTTTTTTTAATGTTGGCGTATCATTTTTTAAAAAGTTTTTGTATAGATTTTCAAACTATTTTTATATGTGGTTTGCATCAATTCCGAATCTTTAAATGAGGAGTGAATCATTTACGAAAAACAAATTCCTGCATGAACCTAAGATTTACTCCGCAATAATTTAAATTATTATTTTAAAATTATTTTAGACTATTTAATTTCTTTATTAAAGTTCACAAATAGTAAATTTATGAAGTTTGTAAAGTTTGTGTTTGTGAATCAAATATTTCCTAGTTTATGGTGCTTTTTGTGAACTTTCATACATGTTGCATAAACATTTTAAAAAATATAAAAAGTGAAATTTGCACTGAATAAGACTAGAACATAAGTCATTTCTCAATGTAGGACTTAAACTTTGTTATTCTTTAACTAGGACTTAATAATGACTAGTGAGAAGAATAATGTCCAAGTGATGATGGGCATCTAGTTGAATAATAACTAATAGATAATGACCAATGGTCCTATATTAGAAAATAAAAACATATAATCCTATATAGGAAAAGTCATTATATTTTAGTCCTATTTGTAAGAAGGTCCATGTAAACTTTAGATCCACCAACCTCTCTTGACCGAGTATTTTTGTAGGAGTACTTGGAATGAAAATACTTCACAAAATACCTAGACACATAATACCTTCATCCAATATTTGTCTACTTTTACTTTTAACAATTAATCTAGCCGATTGTTTTATTTATAATTAAATAAAAATGCAACATATATAAATTAATAAAATAAACAATACTATCTTGAAAATATTTTAGAAGTTGAGTAGATAACATTAATAAAAGTATTCTTGTATTAATAATTTTATTAAGTTTGATTATAAAAAATCAAAATTGAACAAATACCAAGTAACTAAGTAGTAGTAATTTGTTTTAAGAAAAATTAATGAGAATAATCTCACCTTTACCGTCTGGTTTTAAAAAATAATCACATCTTTCACCTATTGATGATTTCTACGCTTTAACTCTCCTGGTGAACCCACACTTTAACTCGGCGCAAACCCCACTACGCGAATTGCACCCCTAAATATTGGTTGATTTTAATACTCCAAAATATACCCTAAAATTGAATGATGAAATTCTAATAAATCATAATTTTGATTCATATTTAAATTGAAAAAAAATAAAACAACAGTAATATAAATAAGTTATGTTCGAAGTAATCTTTTTATAGTCGAATTTGTTATCGAACTGAATCTCTCGAGTCCAACGACATATTATTTTTCAAATTTAGAATTATGTGAAAAAAATCATAATCAAAATAGATGTTATAGTTCAATAAATATATAACATAATTTTATAATATAATATGATATGAATATTACAAACCATATTCCTATTATAAGTTAGAATTGCCCAGCCCCAAGCTTACATGGTTAGGCCATGGTTTCTTCACCTGATCTGATTGCTTCTAATTTGATTAGATTAAGTTCTGAATTAATTTGGTATGATCTGATCTAAATGTAGTTATATTTAAAGCTATTTCCAATCTGATATGATCAGATCTGGTCTTATTTGATTTGATTCCAATGAAATTAAGTAAGAAGTAAAATAAATAAATTGAAGAGAACATGTTACGAGGAGAGAGAGAGAGAGAGAGATGATAGATAGAAAACGAAACCAAATCCCTTTTCTTATTTAGGATACAGTTTGAGGATTTTTATAGTTTTTCATATTCTTGTTATAGTAGAAATAGAATTAGGGTAGGAATAAAAGTTTATTTATTTGCTTTACCCTCTTTCTATGTAGAGAGGGTTGATTTTTTGTTACCTCTAAGAGGCTGTTTGGCAGTGTGTTGCTTTTAATCATTTAGCTTCTGCTTTGAATATAAGTGATTTTACTCTGTTTGGTATGTCAGCTTCTGTTTTTCACCACCACTATTTTGAACATAGAACACCGTTTCAGAGAAGCTGGTAGGAGGTGCTTCTGCGTTCAGCTTTTGTGGAAATCACTTTATCCATAAGTTAATCACTCCCAAACAGCCTCTAAGTAGGGGTGTGCATTATTCGGTCCGGACTCGGACCGACCCGAAACCCGGCCAAAACCGGACCGGACCGGTCCTAATCCGGTCCGGTCTTCGGTCCCCAATTTTTCCTTATTCGGGTTCCGGTCCGGTCCAGTCCGGTCCAGTCTTCGGTCCCCAATTTTTCCTTCATACATAGTTTGTATTGCCCAAATAACAAACTTAATTGTGGGAAGCAGATAGAAGAAGTTGAAATCAAGCATCTTAGCAATTAGAAATGCAGTCAAGTTTGTTAGAAGTTCTCCACAGAGATTTGAGGTGTTCAAGAAAGCTATTGGGAGAGAGAAACTTCCATTGAAAGGGCTTTTGTGTTTAGATATGCCAACAAAATGGAACTCAATCTTTGCAATGTTAGAATCAACATTACCATTAAAACGAGCTTCAAGCGGATGGAACAAGATACAACCAATTCATATCTAGCATATTTCAATGAAGGTGAATAGGGATTTGATGAAGATTGAATTTTGGTTCTGGAAAAGAAAGGGAAAAAGAAAGTTGGACCGCCTCTAGATGCAGATTGGGACAATTGTGAGATTTTTGTGAATTTTCTTAGAGTTTTTAATGAAGTTATCCTTGATGTTAGTGCTTCTCGAAAACAAGTAGTTCACACTATATTGCATGACATAATTGCAATTGAGCAAGTTATGTCCAATATGTTAGATGTTCGTATTGAGAGTGCAAATGCTACTGATTTGTTGATGGTAGAAGTGGGCTTAACAATGAAATCTAAGTACAACAAGTACTTTAGTGCGTTTAAAAATCTAAACCCATTAATTATTTAAGGGCTTGTTTTGGATCAAAGGTTCAAGCTAGAGCATATAACTCATGTCTTGAATGTTGTGATGGGGTGAAAAACATATGAAGTGGAAGCTAAGACTACTCAAGACAGTTCTCTTTTCCATGTACGAAGAGTATGACCAAGAAGTTCAAGGATGGAAGCACTTGAGGAGAAAGAGATCAGATCAAAATGCCAATGATGTTTTGAAAAGACAAAAGGCTTCATATAAAGTTTGGAGTAGCACAAGTAGAAACATGTTTGCAGTGGATGGGAATAAATATGTTGAACAAACAGATGAATCTATCATGATTATATTCATGAGGTTGATAGGTATTTAAATGATCCATTGGAAGCTATTGAGAAATAAAAAAAATAAGGAAGACATAAATGAGAGCAATATAATTTCAAAAAAATAAATTATGTTTAAATTTGACTTTTCTTATTTTAAAATATGAGAGCAATATAATTTCAAAATTTTATGTTCAATATTGTTGTGGTTAATTGGGTAGATCTCAACAAGAGATTTTTAACTGCATATTTTTTTTGTCAATAATGAATTTACTTACAAAAAAATATTTATAAAATAAACAATGCAGTCAAATAATAATTGAATGAAATGGGATTGATATTTTAATATAATAACATTAGTGTTAAATATGGTAGATATATTTCTTATTCTATTTAGAATATCTTGTTTCCTTATTGACCTAGACTATACCTCCTCCCGTGTATGTATAAATACCCCCGTATATGATGAATGAATTACCGAGTTCACAACACATTATGAGCGAAAGAGCTCAAACCCTAATTTTTTACTCTCTCTATCCACAATCGCCTTCGGATCTTCATCTCACTGTTTCGCCGCCATGGGCCGCCACGCCAGGATTACGTTTCTGCGAGCCTATGCAGCATCGGCGTCTTATCTCGGGTACCTGAACCCTGGCGGGCTGGCTCGGTTTAGAGATTCGCATATCAGTGCAAGGAATCACCCTGCAGTCGGTTCTCGTCCCCGGATCTATTCCCTCCACAATTCTCCGGTTGTCCCGACTCACATCGTGCCTTGCGGCGGTTTTTATCTGGTCTCCGATCTGGATCCGCGGCCCACAATGTCCTCAGAGGAAGAAACTCGTCGCTGCTAAGGTGGCGTTCTTCTCAATCTCCATCCCGACTAGCTTTGTCTAGCAGCCGCACGAATCGTTAGTTGACTCAGCGCCACAAATAGCTACAGCGCTCTGGTTGTGCATTGAGACCTCAATAGCCCTTGGTTTTTGAAGCCACGACCAGAACATCATATAATATCTCCTGATTACATTTTGGATACATGATCTGTTTCCTTCTAGCACGGTCCAGGTATTTCTAATTTTCTGAAAACTTCAAATTATTTAAAGATTGCATATTGAAATTGAATTCTGAGTGCATGTTATATACCCCGTATAGGATTATCAAGAAATTTGAACAATAACTGCAATCTAATTATTATGATACTCCGTGGTTTATTTGGTTTGTTTTAAACAAACAACAATACAAATTCAGTATCATTTGATAAAATGGTTGCGAATGATAGTATAATGTTCAATTCATTGTGTCAGATTTCTCTACTACATTTTGATACTTAATCCTAAAATATATTTCTGTTGGATAAACAAAATGCATTTGAATATACAATTATGGATTATTTTCTTGGTTGGTGCTTGGGGCATGAAATTGTGCATTTTAATATTTGCCTATTTCAATGATGATAAAGGTGAATTTTACACTATATGTAAGTGCATATTTTATTATTTGATCTCAAATTCGGTTTTTCCCAAAGTAAATTGAAGAAATTGAACTTGTAATTCACCAATTTGCAGAAGTGTATTGGTCTAACGATTCATATTGAAATTAAATTGTTTTATTTAATTTTTTTTTGAGATGTCATCATATTTCACTCAGATATACTATTGGGTGATACATTGCAATAAAGTTTATGTGACCAATATCTAATTGCATACTATATTTAGCTTGGGATAAAAAAAATAATGTTTGGGTTTTTAATTTCCCTTTTGACGTGGTAGTATAGAAAGTTACACTGCATATTTGATTATATTTTTGTACTTTGGTATGAAAGTTTTTTGAAAAAATGCATACTTTATTACTTGATCCCAAATGTGATAAATGCTTTTGTTGATTCGTATATAAGAAATACAAAGTACGAAGTATATGACATATAAAAGAGAACTTTAATCAAATTGTTAAATTCTATCCTCAAAGTAAATCAAATATTGATATCTATTCTGAAGTTCATAATCTCTCAAAGAGAATAACAAAATAGATATTTTTTTAGTCATGCATTATTTACCATTTTCCAGAAGTAAAATGGCCTAATGATTTTTTTAAAATAAATTGTTCAATGCACTTTATCCTCATGCAATGATATTATATTTTAATGTGATATACTAAGTTGCATTAAAATTTGTGTGATCAATATATGTAATTGCATTTTATATGTGGTTTGCGATTACAAAAGAGTGTTTGAGAATCTAATTTCCTCTAAAGTGCTAGCTAAAGAAAACAATTCATACCCTCAATATATGGTTACATTTTTTTTCCATTATTAGGAAAGATTTTTTTTGAAAAAAAAATCATGCTATATATTCATTTCCTGAAGTGAGTGGAAAAATTGATTGACATGCATGAAAATAATAGGCTATCACAACTATTGCGGTTATGCATATGGGCACATTAAAGTCACTATTATGGTCACATAGAATTAATTTTTTTTTATAAAAAAAACATTGATTATCTGAATCTAAATATTCCTGAAGAATATTGAATTCTGAAAACAAATCATTAAGATGTATAATCTCCTAAATTAAATAAGAGTCATCATGTTCATCAAACACAATATATTGTATATGAGATACCTAAGGTCTTATAATATTTAATTACCACGTGAAGTGGCTTATTTTTAGTAAAGAAAAAAATCTCATCAATATTCCTGAAGAATGATGTATTAAATATATTATAATCAGAGTGATTATACACATTATATTTTTTAGATGAAAGAGATTCTTCTCTTGTAATTAAAGAAGTTAGTGTAAATATAATTTTCTTGTTATACAAAACTTATAGATAGCTCCAGAAGAGCATTGCAGAATACGAGCTGCATAATAGAAGTAATAAAAGTCTCATAAATATTGAATATTTTGAGATAATAGTTATTGTCCTGCATTGACGAATATTCTATTGGGTATAGACAAATCCTTATTGTTTAAGGTGTCTCTATTAATGTTTAAGATACCGGTGGAAATGAATATTACATGACACTTGATCGAGATTTGTTTTCACGTAAACCAGAAGTTTACTCAACCAATTTTTATTTTAAACATAACCAATTAAATTATCACAATTTAGTTTGTGATGTGAAGAAAAAAATCATTAAAAACTCAAGTGAGTACTATCTAAAGGACTAGAAGTTTCTGTTATTATTAGGACCAGAAGATCCTAGAGTCTTGTCCTCATTAGAAGATTATTATGATATTATTACTAATGAAATTTGAGATTCATTTCATACATATTTAGAAATTGTTCAAGGATAATTGATTGTGCCCATCAACTATTTGTGATGAAAATTTAAATGTTTTATATGATGCATCGTTATATTTGTCAGATTTGTTGACAATTAACTCGTAACCCGAAGTTTATGATATTTGTCCTATGGACATAATTTATAGGTTATGTTGAACATCATTAGTCACATAAGAGCCTGCAGCTCTAGTTAATATGCAAAGTGCATCGAATTAGTGGCTATACTTTTGATTATGAGAACAAATCATTTTATACTGGTTTTTGAATCTTCATTTATGTGGTAATTATTTGGAGTAGATGCTTAATGGGCTTAAATTAAGATAAATTATCAAGATACCAAAATGGTAGGTAGACACTGAGGGAAGGTTTTTGAAGGAGTTGAATGGAAGATAAATCCCATGACATATGCTAGATTATATATACTCTTCAATTAAAGAAGATGTGAACCTGAAGTTCAAGAAAGAAGATTGTACTAAGATATTGCAAATAAAGTGCTCATTATGAATTTTATGTGTCAATTGTAAACACTTTGGTTAGAAGTGAATTCTTGATATTTTCTCAACCATAAAAAAATGGTCTTATTATAAGGAACATGTCCAACATATGAGAACCTGAAGTTCTCCTTCACATGTATTTTATATACACATGTTCATTTTTATTAATCCTTCCCTATAAATAAAATGTCAAATCTTCAAAATTTTGAGTTTCTTACACTTGATATCTCCTGAAGAGAAACAAGTTTGTCCCTTCGCACAATATTTGATTGTTTGATTGTATGCCTTATATGCCCTCTCCCCCACAATGCATTCAATATAATGTAGAAGACTGTGTATTGACATTGGCTATAACTCCTCGTCTATTGTTAAATGTTTAGAGTTTTTGACAGGAGATATATTAACATCCAAGTAAGTTGGTTGTCAATTTTATGATGAAATATTCCCAGTCTTAGGGGGAGACAAGAATAATGAAAGACTGGCAATACAAGAAATTATATGAAATGCATCATTGTAAATTTTCGACTCCTGAAGTGGTCAATATAATTTTGAAGTCTGATTTGCAAAGAAGAGCAAATAAATTATTAGATGCATTCACATATATAAGCAGAGTGACAAAGTTACGTATACCAGCATCTTATGCATCTCTCGATTTAAAGTAGTCCCAGAAGTGACTATTGAACAATTTATGTGGGAGAATAATTGGTTTCAAAGATAAGAACCCACAAAAATGAAGATAGCAACAATGCTATTAGTGAAACCACATACATGATTATGAGTGAAACCCCAGAAGAGATAACTGTCCCAAAAGAAGACTAATTCTATTCCAGAAGAAAATGAAACCTCAGAAGAGGTAAATGTCTTTGAAGAGACTAATATGATTCCAGAAGAATAAGTTTCCTAAGGAAACATCGGTACCGAAAGAAAATGAGATCTCTATTAATTATGTACGAGACTGTACAATATGGAACCAAAATGAAACACGTGTTAATGATATTCTTGCATATGCTATGTCAATGGATGTAATCAATAAAAGAGATTACATGCCTAAAACTCAAAGAAGAGTACATGTAGATAGTACATAAATGATTTGCCAAATGGCAAAAGACCCTGAAGGTGAAATATAAGTCACTCGATCGATAAATGAAATATTTTCGGACCTGAAGTCTGAACACCCATAGACGTCAAACCAGTAGGTTATAAATGGGTGTCTGTAATAAACAGAAATAAAATAAATGAGATTGTGCGATATGAAGTACTACTTGTAAGGCAAGGGTTTTTCCCTAATCCGAGTTGATTATGAGGAAACATATTCTCCACTAGTGGATGCATTATCCTTTTAGAATTTTAATTGGCCTCGCAATCTCAAAAGGACTTCAAATAAATGATACGGATGTCGTTATAACATAATTATAAGGGACACTTGAAATCGACATCCGTGTGATAATAATCCCTGAAGGATTCAAGATGCCAGAAGCAATAGAATTAATCGAGATATGTGTGAAGAGATCGTGGAATGGTCTCAAGTAATCTGGCCACATGTAGTACAATTGGCTCAGTGAATATCTCGAAAAAGAAAGATATAAATTTGAAATGAACCTATGTGTTGTCATTCAAGGATCACTCTCATTATTTTTTATTATAGCAGTTTACGTTGACGTATAAATATCATTAGATCTCCTGAAGAGATAGAAAAAACTGTTAAACTTTTGAAGAGAGAATTTGGGAAGGAAGATCCTAAAATGACATAAATTATACTTCAGATTGTATTTTAAACACCTATATGACGGAACATTTATCCATAATTTAAACTACGTCCAGAAGATGTTAACACATTGGAATATGGATAAAGCTCATCTTTTGAACATACCCATGGTTGTTCATTCATATATATATATATATATATACATAACATTCTAATCGCCTCCTAGAAGAGGGCGAAGAAACACTTGGTCCTGAAGTACCAAATTTAAGTGTGAAATTAGACAGATAATGTGTTCACTTATGGTGATACGACTTTTCCTTGGAAGTCGACTGAGCGAGCACGAACAACATGGAATCAAGCTGAACTGATAGCATTATACAATAGTGATCGAGAGCGAGCATGGTAGAGATTGATGATCAATCTAATACAAGGAGCATGCAGTTTGAAAGAAATCAAGAACAATGCTACGATTATATATAAAGATAGTGCAACATGCATAGCTCAAATCAAGGAAGGCTACATCAAGACAGAATGAAGCAAATCTCAACAAAGTTTTTCTCAACATCTGATCTGTAGAAAGGTGGAGAGATCAATGTTCTTCAAGTTAAATCAAGCAAAATTTGGCGGACTTATTCACCAAATCTCTACCTAGACACAGTTTTGAGCAACTCAGAAAGAAGATTGGACTTCGCAGGCTAAAAAGAGAGAAATTAGTTTGAGGGGGAGTATATTTTTATTTTGAGGGAAAATATTATACACGCTGTACTCTTTTTCCCTTAACTAAGTTTTGTCCCACTGGGTTTTCTTAGTAAGGTTTTTAATGAGGCAGCATAACGGATCCTGCAGTATCAGTTAATATAGGTCCTGAAGAACCTAGCCAACATTATCCCGCAGTATAATGTTGTTAGTGTATAATGAACGATGATATATATCTGAGGGGGAGTGTTAAATATGGTAGATATATTTCTTATTCTATTTAGAATATCTTGTTTCCTTATTGACCTAGACTATACCTCCTCCCGTGTATGTATAAATACCCCCCGTATATGATGAATGAATTACTGAGTTCACAACAATTAGTTGTTTCTAAATGCTAGTAAATCGATTGAGTAAGTGCCTATATTTATTGAGAGAATATGGGATGCAGTTTCTTTTTTTATGCGGTGAGAATTGAGATAATATATGACCCTTATGCCCTTCATAACTTATTCCTCCTGATTTTTAGCAATCTCACGATTACCTAACAAAAACAAGTTCATAAAGTCATCCAATGCAATATTAAATCCTAGTCGTCTGATGCATGTAATCTAGCGGATCAAAACTATTCTCATTTCTTTCACCAATCAAGGCTAGATGAAAAGATGTTCTCTCTCTCTAAATGTACTGATGTTTCCCCGGAAAATACTAACGCCGGCAACCCACCGGCGAAACAGAAGCTCTTCTCCGACCTCTTCAAAGTTCAAACATGCACACCTGCTGTTGGGATTTTAAGCGCGTAAGATACCGAAAAATATTGAGAACACCAGAAAAATGAGAGAACAAACACAAGAAAAATATATGAGAGAAAAATTATATTTCCACTATTTCAGGACAATATACAAAAAACTCTCTCCTGTTTACAAGACTAAATTTCAGACACTCATAAACAGATCTTTCCACATCCTATGCCCGGATGTATTTTTCCGAGTAACTAAAACCAGTTATTCCCTACACTCATCCACACTCACCAAGACCCCTTGGATTTTCCTGGTGGTATTCTTGTGTAGAACGCTCTTCCTCTTCTCTCTCTACCTTGGTGTGTAAACCACACACACTACTCATCTCTGATTCTCTTCACATTTATAAGAACCAAATGCATGTATCCATCCATTCTCCAAGAAGAGCTAGCCGTCCCCACCATGTGATGATGATCCAAAGTTGACGCAGCACATTTTGTCCAAATGCATGTGTTTCTTTTCCCTTTTCAAGTGGCGCCCATATTGTTGATTGCCATTTTTTTCTTTATTCCTTTTTTTTTTATTTCTTTTGATTATTTATCAATTTCCCAACACCTGCCTCTGAATCCATCGAATACTATGTTCAAGGGCCGCCCATTTTCCACTTTCTCCAAGGAGGATGTAGATGCATTTTCCAGGCGTTTCCGCTTTGCTCTAGTTGGTAAGTTTCGCAGGAGACCCCCATTATCAGTGGTAAGAAATTTTCTTACAAGATTGGGGTTTAAAGGTGGCTTTACGGCAGGGCCGACCCCAAAAAGTGAAAGAATAAAATTGGCCCGGTCCAAAATTTACATTTTGTGCCATATTTTATATTTTTAGAATAGTTTTGCTTTAAAATTATTAATAAATTTAAAAATATGGTGCCCTAACTTTGCACACCCTCAGGCCTCCCATGCTTTACGGTGGGGGGACTCTCTCACAGTACTGTTCTCATCAACTTTGAACTTGATGAAGATTACCAACGTTTCTTCTATCGTCAATCTTGGACTATCAGTAAAGACAATGCCGGAAGAGGATTTCAATTCCTAATCTCCCCATTCATCTGCATGACCCAAAAGCACTCTTCACCATCGCCTCACATTTGGGTAAACCTCTCAAGGTAGACAATGCAACCCTGAACTTCTCAAGGCCTTCTGTTGCTAGGGTGTGCGCATGGAGGTAGATGTCTCCAAACCTCTACACCAACAAATTCATGTAAAACACGTGGAGGAAGACCTATTTTTTAAAGTCATCTACGAGGATCCTCCAGTTTTCTGTTCCTCTTGTCGGAAGCTTGGTCATACACATTTTAGAAATGCAAAGAACAAGAACCAATCCAGGGAGATGTACCGAAAAACTTGAAGATTCCGGCCAGTAAACCAGAGGTTATATAAATGACAAAGGGAAGAAACCAGCTTCTGAGGAGGGTTGGCAGAACGTCCCTTCTCGTAAGCCTAACAAACCGCTACCCTCCAGGAAGTGCTGGAAAGCTAAGTTGGGTCCCGTTGAAGGTCCAGGAAAAAAACATCCAAAGCAGGGCAGAGACGTAGGACCGAAGGGTCTTTTATCATTCTTTTATTAATTATTATAGTGTTTCATTTAATTGCTTCTTACAGAGTATTATTTACTTTTCATGGATAAATATTATTTTAATAATTATTATTTAATTACTTCAAGGTATTTTACTTTTTATAGAGATTAGTGATTACTTTTCCAAATCATTGTTTTTTAATTATTGTTTTATTAAATTATTTTTTACTGAAAGAAATTGAAAAGAATGGAAGAAATATATTTTGAAAATATTGGAGGGGGTTGAAAAATAAGGAAGAGTTTGAAAATATTTTTAAAAAGAAAAATGGTGAAAAGAATATTAAAATTTTGAAATTTTATACTTTTAATAAATTAACTAAAGCTTTATTTATTTCAAAACATTACCTTTTTTTCCGCATCATACTTTTTTATTCAACCCATAATGCATATTTAGGTCCCGTTTCGTTCAAGTTATTATTTCTGCTTTTTTTCTTATTCTTATTAAAATGAGATCAGATCAAATAAGATCCAATTAGATCAGACTAGATCGGATTAGAACCAATCAAGAATTATTATTATTATTATTATTATTATTATTATTATTATTATTATTATTATTATTATTATTATTAAAAAAGAAAAAGAATAAACTTTAGAAACAAGTTGAATAGAAAACTGAAAAAGTAATCATTAAGTATTAGATGTCAGAAAAATTATTTTTAAAGTACATTGACAATGTCAATCTAATTATACTCTTAAAATACATTTTTATTGCTACCTGTTATTTGAATTTCTAAAGTTTTTATCTTTTACTACATCAAGTTGATCAACTTTGATCATGACTTAAATAAAATTAACATTTGATATTCATTTACGGAGTATATTTTAGTGTAACTGAAATAACTATTATATCTATGGTGTTATATTAATCATAAAAAAAGTTTCGTAGTACAAAGCACACGTTGATATTTTATAAGAATGAGATATTTTAATAAAAATATTATCTCTTCTCTCTATTGAGTATCTAAATTTAATTACTTTATAATGTATAAATGAATTAAATATTTATTCTAATGTATATATGAACTAATTATTAAAATATTAAATCAATATTCTTATTTCATAAATTATTAAAAATTACGAAAGGGGTTTTTCATTCGTACCCCCTCCATTCACTAGCTAAATGACAAATGTATTTTTATTTTCACATTATTCTATATAAGATAAATTCATATTATAATGTAATACTCCCATTACTCCATAATATTTTTTATTTTATGATTATTTTTTATGAAATAAAAATATTGATTTAATATTTTAATAATTAGTTCATATATACATTAGAATAAATATTTAATTCATTTCTACATTAAAAAGTAATTAAAATTAGATAATCAATGTAGAGAAGAGACAATATTTTTATTAAAATATCTCATCCTTATAAAACGTCAACGTGTGCTTTGTACTACGAAACTTTTTTATAATTAATATAACACTATAGATATAATAGTTATTTCAATTACACTAAAATATACTCCGTATATGAATATCAAATGTTAATTTTATTTAAGTCATGATCAAATTACGTTGATCAACTTGATGTAGTAAAAGATCAAAACTTTAGAAACTCAAATAACAGGTAGTAATAAAAATGTATTTTAAAAGTAGAATTATATTGACATTGTCAATGTATTTTAAAAATAATTTTTCCGACATCTAATAATTAAGGATTACTTTCTCAGTTTTCTATTCTACTTGTTTTTAAAGTTTATTCTTTTTTAATAACAACAGCAACAACAACAACAACAACAACAATAATAATAATAATACTTGATTGGATCTAATCTGATCTGGTCGTGCATAGCTATGAGTTATTAATATTTCTGAAGCTTTGTATTTTGTTTTCTCGTGCTGCTATGCACTTATGTCTTGGATGATCAATATATTTATTTGCATTTGGTTCAAAAAAAAAATTTAATATTTATTTTTATTAAAAATCACGGCTAACTACTAAGCCGGTTTTCAGGTCGTTACATTTCTTTCCCTCTTAAAAGGAATTTCGTCCCCGAAATTCTTCTAAGATAAAGAGTGAAATTCCTAAATGCATTTCGAAAATTCTTTTTATTAATGCGACGTTTTTGTCTAAGCAGTTAAAACGACAATCAAACATTTTTTCCAAATCAAGAGTAGACAGTTTAAGTCAAATATCATATTTTTTTTGTTAAGCAAATCTTTAGAGATGCTATATCTCAAAATAACATGTTTTGTTTTTTTTACAATGATACTTATCTTCAAATATATACCAATTTGATTTTCGAAATGTTTATCAAAGACAGTTAACAACAAAGTCAAACAATTAAATTTCAAGATTCAATTAAAGTGTGTCATCTTTTTTTTGCGAAGAGTCATTTGCCACTCTAAAATTTAGCAATTTAGCTCAAGATTGATTGGTTAAACTTGACCACAAAATTTTTTTTGAAGTCACCTACGCGTTTGCTCAACACGTGGCGCATTTGTTTTTATACATAACATGATCGCGCTAATCGTCATGGTAATTATGATTTCCTTTTTTTATATAACTAACATTTTTTTTAAATTTCTATATTAGCTCAATCTTCTCTTGCTTAGAATTTTTTTTCTTTACACAAGGTTTTTTTATAGATAACCCACAGGCTAATCAATAAATAAATTAACTAACCATCAAAACAACAATTTTCACATAAGCGCATAATTATGATTTAGATTTACCTCCTGGAGCAGAGGAGTTGTGAGAGATGCAGATGCTGCTGCTGAAGTACCTTGTAACCAAATCAACACCTCTTTTTTTAAACATTTTTTTTAAAATCTTTTTTTGAAAGGGTCGAAGACCGATTTTAAAACCACTTGCTCTGATACCAAAATGTAACACCCCAACCCGCGTGCCCCGAATACAAGGATTAGCGGATCGGGTTGTTACTAAATTTGTATTCGGACACAATAATTTTCAAAATAATTTAAAACATTTAATTCAAAACAATATTTAAATATCCATCAGAGTAAATCAAAACGGTGCGGAAGCCTTTAAGTACTAAATCAAATAAAACTTTGGGTTCTTGCCCTTAAAAACATAATTAATTCAAACTTAAATATTAAACCAGTTAACTCCTCCAGATAGCATCCATCCACCTCTCGGCCCTTGCTGCCCTCCGGGATAGTTCCTTATTCACCATTCATGTTACCTACGTGTAGCAAATAGAAAAAAGGGCTACACGCTCAGCATTGAAGCTAAGTGCGAACTATCTAACGTTCGACTACGCACATAGACGAACCCACTAGCTCATAATTCCATACAATATCATGCACACAAGTGTACAATATAATAGAACATAATAGTCACCAAATAAAATCACAAGTCACAAATCATTACCTTTTTTCCTCTTTATTCATAGCTCATAACATGATTACCAGACTAAGTCCATACTTCCTTATTTACAACCTTATGTTCGGACTTAGAGTCACTACCTACGGCCATGACTCAAGTCTATCTTATGACACTGATGACCAACGAAGGAGTTCTCCGCTGGGTGGGTGGTACCCCTGTCCCCTTTGGAACGACAGTTCTTGGATCCCGTACGTACATTTTAACCCGCAGCCGTCGGATATCAGATCAGCAGGGCTGATCCTATCTATTGACATTTATGCTTACAATCTTACTAAGGCAGTCCTAGAGTTCCCCTAGGTAGCCTAATCATTTATTTATAACATCTCTATAGTTCAGACTTATTCCAACATCAACCTCAATTCCTTATTTACTTCCAAAGTATAACAGGATTATATTTAATTACAACCAGAGGGATAACAATAATCAGATAACCAATCATAATAACTCAATTAGCGGCCTAGTGTCTGAAAGTTCGTGGGGGGCGTAGCGGAAATCACCATTTAAGAGCTATGCAAACAAATCAATCCACTATGCTGCAGAGAAGACGCTGCAGCACTGTCACAGTAACAAATGACAGACAGTGTGCTATTACACTTCTCTGTCACGAGCACACACAGACAGAAGCAGATGATGCAGAGGGCGTTACAGCGCCTACTGGACAGAATGCTTTAACTGTAAAAAGCGTAAAAAATAACACCTGATATGTTTACGCAGTTCGGAGCAAATTCTCCTAGTCTGTGGGGCCCACGTCCGTGTCATAGCCCTCCACTAAATCACTAGATGCAAGTTACACCGGTACATAACAACATGATGAGACACCCTTCTCCGAATTGCTATGACAAAACTTCTAATATAGGATTTTTTAACCCGAACTCGGTTCAGATCCGCTTCGGCTATCACATCTCCACCGAGATCACGAGGACAAACGTGTTGGCAGCCCTCTCCATAAGCTCTGGTTCATCTCTTAGTTGTCACGATCTTGTTTGGCGTTGAAGATCTCATTCTTGATGTAGATCGTAAGTTTCTTCATGCAAGGGAAGCTCCGGGACGCGACGGGAATGGTCTACATCAGCGTATATTCTTTGTTTTCCCTCTCAATGGCTCCCCATAGTTCCGAGGGACTTGCTGCATTTTTATAGGCATCTCTTAACACAATCCTAGTAGGAATAGGATAGTAGAAGTTGGCTTGAACTCTACTTCCTTAATCTTGATCCACAAGTAGCCTAAAGAGTTGGGATTTCTTAGCATGTACAGCTGGAGTTATTATCATGTAATCACAATCTCAATAGGTCTCTAATTCAGATTGTAGCTTAAAATCCCGTGCTCCCACACACTGTGTTGCAGCATCGTGCTGTAGCATCTTCTGCGTCAACCTCGAAAACTGCAGCAGCTCTAGAAGTCTAAATAAAATAAACCTTTCCTAACAAATAGAGGTTTCTACCTAGTAAAACATCTAACAAATATGGGATCCTATTTTGCCAAAAGATTAGCCAACACCATGGAACTAACAGTGTCGTGTGTAACATCTTCCACTTACCGTCATGCAAATCACATAAATTTGAAGTAAGAAAACGTACCTGGTCATCCTCGTTCCACCAATTCCAACAATAACATATAATATAATTAAACCATAATTTAATTATAACAAATAAACCACGTAATCAATCATACGAAACTACGAACCTGAATTTCAAATCTATATACATAATCTAGCGTTAGATGTGCAAGTTCTGACCTCAATTAATTGGCAAATTAAACAAATCATATGAAGGATGAAGACAACACTCGCTGACGGAGCAGCGGCGTTCCATGGCGGCAGCTCAGCGACACCGCGGCTGGGTTATCTCGGGCGACCCAGGCAGTGGCACCTCGGCGGCGTGCTCCAATTCCGTCGCGCGGCCCTGTTCTGTTCTTTCTGCCCTTTTCTCGCGCTAATGTACTCCGTATATTCTTTTCCTCTATCTTTCCTTTCTTCGTTGCTGCGTGTGTTTGTGTGTATGTATATCTATATAGTAGTATTTTAACCCGTGCAACGCACGGGTGGAACAAAAGTTTTTGTTGATTCTAAACTTTTGTATAAAATATTTTTAGGAATAATATTTTAAACATGATTTTTTAATAATATAGAGATTTAAATATGTTAACAATAGAGTTTTTTTAATTTCAATTTTTTTCAAAAACTTCAGAGTACACAAACATGTACATTTTTGTATAGTTGCACGAGTTTCCATTGTCATCTAGAACTAATATTTTTAATTATCTATTTTTCTTCATTAATGAAATAACAATATTAAATTAATCATGAGTGAATACTGACTTGGATAAAGATAATCCAACAAAGGATAATTTTGTCCTTGACTTTTGTTAATAATTATAACGAAATATAAGACTTTTTGAATTATTTTTCTCTAGAATTTCAGGGGTAGTCCGGAGTCAAACCATACCAAGTTCATTCAGGATCTCCAACTCAATTTCTCGAAATAAAAATTGCCACTGATAACGTTGTTTCACAATACTTTAATGATTAATATCATATAATTACAAAATTTAGATGTTTGATTAATATTTCTCAACAACATAATCGATTCTCCCTTTTCAAAATTATTATGTGGTTTAGGATCTTCAAACATTTGATTTCATTCAAAAATCAAGTGTTATCGAGTATCACCAACACCTATATTTGCATATCTTTGGCATAAAAAATCATAAGTACTTTTCATCACCGAGATTGAGGGATAAAAAAAATTATTTAACATTTTAACAACTTTGAGAGTGGGTGCCAATAGTGCCATGTCCTAAAAAAATGAATTATTTTTCATATTCTTCAATATGTTTGGATAAGTGAAATTCTTTATACTCATGTGGGAATAACTTGGGTCGAGAGTCAAGAATTTGTGATTTTTAACCTCACCAATTCTATCAATATCCTTTTCGAGCTTTGAATCTCTGACTTCGAGTATCGAATCAGAAAAAACTTGTGTATTCCATCGAACAGTTTTTTTATTCTTATTTTTTTGAATGCAATATTTTTTCGAATTCAAGTAAATATATTTCTCACACAATCTTTATTACTATAGACAACCCAAAGTAGAATAAATAATTTTTGAAGAACTAAAAGTCTACTCGACAAAGTATTTTTAATACAATAAACAACTGAAAGGATCTTTAAAAATTTATCGTTGTCATTTGGGTGAAATTTTGTATACATTAATGGAAATCCAAATAAGAAGAAAGATATAAGTTTCTTATTTTAAAAAATTATGTACATCATTAGTTATTATTTGCACAAAAATTTGAAATTATTTTTCACAAAGAAAACAAATTCCTTTATGAATGATGCAAATTTTTATAAAGCAATCACCGTAAATAAGAGTAAGTGAAATTTGCACTAAATAGGAATAAAACATAATAACTTTCGTAATGTAGGACTTAAACTTTTTTATTCTCTAAATATGACTTAATAATGACCTAGTGGAAGAAATAATGTCTAGTAATGATGGACATTTAGTTGAATAATGACTACTTGATAATGACCAAAAGTCATACATTGGAAAATAAAAACATATGGTCCTATATTGAGAAAGTCATTGTGTTTTAGTTCTATTTAGGTAAATTTCTCTAAGAGTAAATCATAAAGAAAGTGCCAAATCTTTATTTTTGCTCGAATAGACTCCATGTATTTTTTTATGGAGGTATCATCGTGACAGATTTTGGACACTCCCAAAGTTTGTTCATGGTGATTTCAAAACACCGTCCTCACCTCAATCCTAAAAAGATAGGTCTTCCCAAGGTCATCAAACTCCTTTGGTCTCTGAAAACTTCCACCTGAGAAATTTTATGTATACATTAGTATAATAAGACAGATGTTGTGTTAAAAAGCAAAGCTGAAATTCATTAGGAAGTTTTATTTCCCTCGATTCAAGTTGGGAGTAAAGTGAAGCTAAGATGATAAAATTAATTGTCAATTGTTTACCTGGTGTTTAAAATGAACTCATAATAAATTAACTTTTCAATAACACATGCCGAATCTCTGTTTCCATGTAATTCGAAAATACTTATCTTTGTCAAATTAAAAATACAAAAAAAAAGTCAAAAATTAAAAATGCAATTTTTTTTAATCAAGAGATGGGTATATTGTTTAAAAGTGAATATTATTCTGTGAAAGCCTGAAAGGTCATATAGTGGTGAAAGTATGTTCTTATGGATAAAAAAGAGAAGGAATTGAAGATAATTGCATAAACATATCGTCCACTTATTGTAACCTCATATAATTAAACAGGTAACAGAGAGGCATAAATAAATATGCACGGGGTAAAACATTATTTGATGAATGTGATGATAGTACATTTTCATCTCTTTGTGTTCTATTTTGTCAAACAAATAAGGCATTTAATGAATCATGTGAAAATTTATAGTGTTTGTGGTGGCAAGTTGTTTTCTTTCTTTATTTCGGCCAAAATAAGTGATATGTCTATATGGTGGATAATATACTATGTTGAGCACTAACCAAGCTTGTCAGAAGAATGAGACATTGTGTTCAGGTATACAAAACATGTGCAAACTTCAAAACTAAATACTCCGTACTATTTAGTGAAAGGTCGTATACTTAAAGAGCAGTCGTTGACTCAATATACTCCCAATCAGATTTAGTTGAATAAAAAAGTGATTTTAAATAAATTCTTCCTTCGTTTGTGATCAAATTAACTATTCAATTAGAAGAAAGAGTACATACCGCGTCACTTTTATCCATCAATTGGTTACATGGTGTACTTAAAATACAGGAGGCCTCATGGTCAAATAAGACAAACATAGTTCTAAAATCATCTTTAACAGAGAGCGTGATAAGATACCTACAATGCATAAAATCCGTAATCAATTTTACTTTGAATTATAAACATAGGAGTGCAAATATAAAAGTTGGAACAAAGATTAAAATTAAACCTCAAGGTGACGTTAAACACACATCATGAGCAATGCACGCAATAATACATGCACCATTAGGTTTAACTACATAATAAATACCACCAATCAGAGTCATTATATTGTTCACTGCAACGATAGTCCCGTACACCACATAGGATCCATCCTTTTTTAAAATTTATTATATATTAGTATGCATCACAAAACTGACATAATAATGTAAAGTATTTAATGAAAAAAGCACAGAATTTATAATATGTAAAAGAACTATATGAATAGAATTATTAGTAGTATAAAATATACCTCATTGCACTCCTTGAATGTAACAATGTCCCTTTATCTATTTGTATTAAGGAAATCATTATGGCCAGTACTTACAACATTTTTACGTGAGAACTTAAGCAGTTGAGGCTGAGACGACCTACCAAGAGTCATGTACGATGATAATTCCATGGTTAGTTTGGGTGTCTCCAATGTAATCCGTATGCGAAGAAGAATCCGTTTGGGATACTTTCCTATGAAGAGGTGCATAATTGGGGAAGAAAAGAACTCAGCGATGAAGACACCACACGTGCACACATGTGATGACTCAATCAAAGTCCCATTGAAAAGAAAAGAAAAAAAGAAAAAAATTCAACACTAAAACCAAGCTCCAAGCTCCCATACAACACCAAATATCTCAATCCAAAATAATGATTAAAGCGAAAACTGCCAACCAATAGCCAAACAAACCAAAACACATTCTTACCAACATCTAAATTTAGTAAACTCAAGTCTAGTTCCAACCAAACACAGCCTAGTCCAAATTTGAGCACAGGTATGGGCACCTATAATGTGTTTTTTTAATTGTCAAAAATAAGATAAAAAAGAAAAGTAGGAGTTCTCATCTTTGGGAGAATTAAGATATACACACATAGAAGACAAACTATTTGCAAAATATTATTATTCTCCTTTTTTACTTTTGAATTTTTAGTTAAAAAAAGACTAATTTCCATGTTCATGTTTATGACTAAAATGCAAAGGACATACCTGGAAGAGTGCATTGCTGATTTTGCACTAAAAAACCAAAAAGTACTAAATGGCATAATCATATTCTTG